TAGCTTGAACAAAAATCTGTGTTTGCAAAGTTGCAAGTCATCTTGCTAACTGACTGTCAGAATAATACTCATAACTGCTGTAAATTTATATTATATCAAGTTGCATTCCACATTCATTTCTGTAACTTTATATATTCAGGATCCCTATGAATCCTTAAACAGTCTGTAATACACCACTTTATCTGTAGAAACACTGTTATTGTGAATACAATGTTGTATTTATTTATTGGAATTGTTAAATATGCATAAATTGTGAGAAATATTTGATAACCATGGCTATAAAATTTAGACAAATTTCATTTCAGAATTTTTCAATGACCAACATTTATTTTTTACTTTTTCTTTTTATAAAACAGTGAAACATTGGGTTAATTATCTGAATAATTAATTAGCTTGGTCAATAACAATTATTGGAAGATGTTCCAATCACCTGAGGGTGTTCAGTCCTAGCCATAATTTCCTTTTTACCTCTTCTGATCAAAGTGTCATTTTTAGGGACAGTAAAGCGAGCTCAAATTCAAGGTGGGAATGACGACATATAATTTTCAATTCTGTTATAACATCTTTAAAGCATGTTGATATTATAGAAGTGTACCTACTTGGTTAAACACTTTGTAATGTAAACACTTTTGTCCAGGTGCATCATAGACCACAAGAACCTACAAGAAGCAATGATAACAACAATGAACACATGCAGACAAATAGAGAGGCAGAGAACCAATTACCCAGAAATAAAATTGTACCACATGTAAATTTGTTTCTCTGTAGAATCTATTAATTTTCGGGGGGGGGGGGGGGGGGGTTACATCATGCTCATACCACTGCTTTGATATGGGTGCTGCTACACAATTCCAAAACCTGACTTTGTACAAACAAGTCTTTTTACAGAGCATGATTTAATTCTACAATTCAACCATGTTCCCATTTAGCACATTAAATAAGCACCCTGTCGGCTGAGATAGCTCCACTGTTAGCAATGCATATTTCAATTAAAGAACTGAAGATATCATTAGAAAATGAACAATATGAATAGTATCAAAGCAATCGGACTTACAGTTTTTAACAAGAAGTCGAAAATATCACTTTTTACCAAAAATTACAAAAATATTCACCAAAATTAGAGAATTGAAGATATCACCATGAAATGAACAAATTCTAAGAGAGGTCTATCCAAAGTACATAATACACCAAGTATCAAAGAATTCAGGCTTGTAGTTTTCAAGAAGAAGTCGAAAAAGTAAAACATTGACATTGACATGGACGCCGACGGACAATCATTCATATGATAAGCTCTACTGGATAAAAATCGACAGGGGGGCCTATTAAGGTGTAATTGGAGATGTTATACTGAAAATAACCACTGTTATATAACATCAATACCCTAGATGTGCCCAGATGTACAACCTTTATGGGTCATATACAAATGGCATAGTCACAAATACATGTAAACAATTCACTGATTCATGATTTTTAGCAAAACATTCTTGAACCAAGTTACCGGTAACATTTACATATTTGATAGTTTGTATACCAAAAACGATTCAGAGTTGCCAGACTCACTCACTGTTTCCATGGAAACTGGTACTATGCAATAACACGCAATTTCAATGTAAATTTTGTGAAAAAGTATATTAAAAGGTCTCAAAATCCAGGCAGGTAAAATGAATCCTGGACAAAAATTCACTTGATATTTAAAGGTACCCACATGTCGTTATTAATACTTAATAAAAGCAATAATTCTCAGTGGTATTTAATTTCACTGTTTTAAAAATATTCACTGGGTTTTAAAATTACAGATTTCACCAATGACAATAATTCTCATTTCACGGATTAATTTTAAGTGGATTTAATTATCAGCAAAAATAGCAAAATTCAGCCCGGTAAATAATAACAATAACAATAAAATAAATACCTGAACTCCAGGCTGACTACTTTTCCTGACCAAGTACATGCCAGGTTTTTTGTACTTATTCAAACACCTATAAATAGAAAATGATTTTGTGAGATCAACAGTTTGTCAACTCAGATAGAATAACTGCAGGATGAACTGAAATTTGCAAAAAACATAATTAATAAATGGTGGCTTCTGCGCATGCGCCAACCAAGCACCGGTTTATGAAATAAATTATCGTCAGCAGTCCCTGACTGCCCAACCTTATTCTCTGTCTATCGCTTCTTTGACTTAGCCTAGTTTTGACAGTTCATTTAAACTTTATTTTTAAAGATTTGAATGTAAAATATAAGTTAATTATATTATAATTATATAAGTTAATTAAATAATATAAGTTATTTTTACTGATTCTTAAACAAAAATAATTCCCAAGTGAAAATAATGTAATTTACAGTAGTATAATGATTTTGTACACTGGAATATGTGATCGCCTGTAACCGAGGCAACCATCATTCTCAGAATGAATGAAGATACCTTTCTGATTCCATTTTATCTGAAGTATGGAGCATAGCCTTGGCTGGCAATAAATCTGGAGTCTATGCAGAAGAAGAAAACAAAATAAAACAGTTACATATTTTAACACATCTTGAGTATTTTCACAAATATTTTCTTAGTCTATTCTGTCTGTATTACGTCTTGAACTGAAGGTGCATAATAGATGAGCTGGGAGTTTGTGGGAGCATGTTCAAGGTTTCTACGTTACTGAGCGTTTTCGTAACACGGTGAAAGGTTATAACCATGTTGTGATCTGTTCACAAGTTGAAATATCTTACAAATATATGTAAATTAAGATACCAAGAAAAAAGCTTTCTGAAAATTTCTAAATCTTCTAAGGTATTTTTGGATGACAAATATTCAGCACAAAAACTCAAGTTGGTTTTATAGTAGTAAAATATCTGTCGAAAACAAAGTGAATCAAGGTCAAGTGACCCCCTCCCCCCTTTGGGCATTTGGTAGCTAAGCAAACTACCGATAAGAACACTTCTATTGAAAATTTTGACACAGTGATGCTACCATGCAGACGAAGCAAATCATCATCAAGATTTTGTTTAAAGCGGGAGAGTCGTCACCTGTGCATACGTCAGATGGCCATAGCGTGTCATTGTTTACAGACAAGCGTCTACCCATGAGCCTTTGCATTATAAGCGTGTGTTGTATCGTCACTTGGGACTCAATTCCAGCACGTGCACAGGTGACAACCCTCTCACTTTAAGCGTGATATTCATGCAACTCTAAATAGTATGTGTTCTAATACTGCCATCGCATCCACTAATCAAAATATGATTGTTATATTGTCGGGGGAATAATGACTTTGGAGAATGAAACACAAACAAGAAAAAACACTTCAGTCTCATGGCTCTTTCCTCCTCAAAGACATCTCAGTGGTCGTTTACTACTAGGAGAGACAAATGTTGTACTCACTGAAGAGATGATTGCCTTGGTCTTGGAGCTGGTTTTGGAGGTCCCCCAACATTCTTAATTGGAATTGCAGGCTTAGTAGAGGATGGAATCTTAGGTTTTGATGTAGGGGGTGTTGGCAAAGGCGGCCATGCATTTTGAAGTTTAGACTAGAAAAAAATAGAAAATTGTTAAGACATATCAAATTTACTCCTCCTGTGAATTATAATAAATAAACTTTTTTTTAAAGAATTTTTGAAAGGTTTATGACTTGATTTTGTTGATAGTTATAACATTCTTCTCACCAGAAGCAAAATTGCAATAAATAAATGATCAAAAAAAATTGAGCAAAGCGATCCTACACAACGCAAACGTCACATAAAATGCAATGTGAACCATTTTGCTGAAAGCGGTACAACACACACTATAATGGAAAATTACACATAAAATCTAGTCAGAGGACATCAGATAGCCTCCCAGGATGGTGACGTATTTGACATGATTTTGGCCAGGGCCCAATGTGAAGATGTCAGGAAACAACACAGGAAATAAAATAGAAAATAAAATTCTGGGAAAAAAAAAAGATAGATACAGCTATTGACGCTTTAACAAT